GATATCGCCGTCTTTTTGCCCCGCGGGAAGTCCCGCTTAGTAGCGGAATTCAAGATCCACGGGTGCTTGGAAAGAACGCAACTTGCAATGCCTTCATCTTCGTTTGCTTCAAAGGAAGAGATAGCCGGCAATAGCCTTCTAGTTTAGCTATGTGCTGGTTGATGAGCAGCCTTTGAGATAGGTAATTGACCTCATTTTGGAGGATTAAACTCTAAACATCAGCATGAAACGTCATTGGATGTCTGCTGACGCGCATTATAGACTCGAAAGGATAAATATGGGTTTTGCTTGTGTAGCACTCCATTCAAGGTGGGTTAATGATAGCCCGTGGTGTGTTGTTGGGGATACTTGAAAGAGTCGGCTGCGCAACAATATATAGTGGATGGAGATATACATCGAGGCAAGATGACATTTACCTCCCATCCTTTTATTTGTTCTTCAACAATATCTATGAATTGTTTTGTATGGCTCCTATTCTTCTCCTTTGGATCTATAGATAAACCTAGTCACAGCTAGATCCTTTATTGTGTGGTGTGCTTAATCTGTCTGGTTATATATATTAAGAACACCTAGGAGTGTACTTGCACATGGCAGAACCAAGGATATAAAAGAAAACGACTATTCGGCCAACCATTACTTGTCAGATTTTGTCGAGCTACGGTTTCAACCTATCATTTGATATATATTGAGTCGCAGCCAAGGACGACAGATACACCTGAACTCAGAACTTTGCTACACAAAACACTCGGAATATTCTGACACGGACATTAAGTGCACACTTATCTAGGGGATATAGACCGAAGTTCGCAGAAACATACATGTATGTACATTTGTATGTATCCAAATGACCCCGCGATCTGTACTACATGGATTTCAATGCCTGTCCCAAACCACATCCTCTTCCGTGCCCCATTTTTTAAACAATCCATCAAGCAAACTAGGCAGTGTGCTTTTTTTGGATACTAATATGGCCTCTCAAACTGTAGCAGGTGGTAATCCTGCATTGCACAAGTTCCAGGTTCCAGCCATCGTCCAGCCACTTCACAATAGCATTCCCCCGGAGCTGCTCCCTCGGTATGATCCAATCTACGTCGCATACTACAATGCATTTAATGCTGGACGACTGCATACGCATGAGATCCCGATTGAAGAGTTCCGCAAGAACCCTGCCCGATATACCATTTCCTATGGCCGAGCTCCCGGCCCTGATATTTTCCGCATCACAGAACAGAAATGCCCTGTTGATGGCGGTGAAATTACCATACGGATATTTGAGCCAGCACCCCGGCTTGACGATCAGGGTCAGCCGAAGAGGAGAGCAGCCTATGTCAACTTCCATGGTGGTGGGTGGGTGTTTGGTGGACTAGCCTACGACCACGATTTCTGCAAGAGAGTTGTGCATGGTCTTAACGGGGACCTTGTCGCATTTGACGTGGATTATCGACTGGCTCCCGAGCATAAATATCCTATTCCCGTGAATGATTGTTGGACTGCTTTCAATTGGGTAGGAATCTCCGGGGCTACGACCACCTTGTATGGGAACCAACTGCTGATGACGCAATGTCTAGATTCGCTCCCACAAAGCGACTGAGTTCCATCTAGATCCTGATAGGTTCGCAGTGGGAGGTGCGTCAGCTGGAGGTCAACTTTCCGCCGTCATCAGCCATCTTTGCCGTGATGTAAACATTCCTCTGCGCTTGCAAGTCTTGACTGTGCCGGTGACAGACTTGCACCGTGTCTTCACCCCTGAAGGTGAGTTTGACCGCGAAGGTTGCCCCTACGAATCATATCGGGAGATGGAGTTTGCGCCAGCGTTACCAGCAGCGCGCATGGCATATTTCCATCGACAATTTCTAGGAGTTCCTCGACCGGCGGAGTCCAATGAGGTAAGTTCGAACATGGGATGATTGTAAATGTGATGCTAATTTGTTTAGGATTGGAAGATATCGCCCATTCTCGCCCCTAATTTCCAGAACTTGGCCCCTGCGTTGGTGTCTACGGCGGAATTGGATCCGCTGCGCGATGAAGGAGAGGCATATGCAGCTAAGCTTCAAGCTGCTGGTGTATCTGTAGAGATAGACCGAATTGCAGGTGCTCCACATTTGGTTGCTGGACTTGATGGAATTCTGGAGGGAGGTCAGCGATATAATGAGAAGGTGATTGCGACAATGAAGCGGCAGCTCTCAAGGGATGAGAGTTCAGCCCGTCAATAAATAAATACCAGAGTACGGAAGCTAGATATTACCGCAAATTACTAATAATTACCGAATATTACACGAATCACTACCGAATAACCCGTCTCCCTTTGGTCCTGCCGATACCGGGAAATTTCGGCTGGGGACTCGGAGAGTTGAGCTGACCTCAAATTTGAGACTTTTCTTTTAAAGGAGACCCTTGATTTCACTTCCCCATAGAAGCTTCAGAAGCTTGGTGTGAGCCTTTGTATATCTTCTTTGGTACAACCCAATTGTCACACAATGAATCCCACTTCCTCCCGAGCCGCGGTGCGCTCTATGGCCACCTTGACACATGCGGCCAGAGCCACCCCCGCAGCTCGCACCATTTTGTCGCCCTTTGCTACCCGGTCTCTGAGCTCTAATACCCGTCAATTCGCTCAGTTCCCCCGCCTTCAATCTTTGAACACTTTCTCCAACAAGCGAGCCTTTGGAACTACCGTCAGAATGGTATGCTGACTTGAGAGCGTGGTGGACAAACGAATTCAGAGAAACTGATGCGTGTGATCTAGTCTGTTGACGCTCGCACTGAGAGCGATGCCTTTGGTGAAATCCAGGTGAGTGATTATTGGCACAGCAATGGTACCGTATAGAGCTAATGATTTTCTCAATAGGTCCCTGGAGACAAGTACTGGGGTGCGCAAACCCAGCGGTAAGACGCCCCGTCAAATCGATACGCTACAATGGAAAATAAGAACAAGGTCGCTGATGGATACAGCTCCCTCGGCAACTTCGACATCAACCAGCCCCAGGACCGTATGCCCGCCCCGGTGATCAAGGCCTTTGGTATCCTGAAGGGTGCTGCTGCTGAAGTGAACATGAAGTACGGCCTTGGTATGTGAAGTTCTTGCGGAAATTCGATCGCGCTAGGTTATTGACTTGCATAAGACCCCAAGATTGGCGAGGCTATCAAGCAGGCCGCCGCTGAGGTCGCTGAAGGCAAGCTGCTGGACCACTTCCCTTTGGTCGTCTGGCAGACTGGTTCCGGCACCCAGTCCAACATGAACTCTAACGAGGTCATTTCCAACCGTGCCATTGAGATCCTCGGTGGTACCATGGGATCCAAGAAGCCCGTTCACCCCAACGACCACGTTAACATGTCCGCCTCCTCCAACGACTCCTTCCCCACCGTTATGCACATCGCTGCCGTTATCGAGCTCGAGCAGTCCCTTCTGCCTTCGCTCAAGGGTCTTCGCGATGCCCTTCAGGTGAAGGTCGAGAAGTTCGAGCACATCATCAAGATTGGCCGTACCCACTTGCAGGACGCCACTCCTCTTACTCTTGGCCAGGAGTTCTCTGGCTACGTCGCCCAGCTCGACCGTAACATCGAGCGTGTCGAGGCTACTATCCCCCACCTGCGCTTCTTGGCTCAGGGTGGTACCGCTGTCGGCACTGGTCTCAACACCTTCAAGGGCTTCGACGAGGCCGTCGCTGCTGAGATCACCAAGCTGACCGGCACCGAGTTCAAGACCGCCCCCAACAAGTTCGAGGTTCTGGCTGCTCACGATTCCATCATCGAGGCCTCCGGCTCCCTGAACACCCTGGCCGCCTCCCTGTTCAAGATTGCCCAGGATGTGCGCTACCTGGGCTCCGGCCCTCGTTGCGGCCTGGGCGAGCTGAGCCTGCCCGAGAACGAGCCCGGCTCTTCTATCATGCCCGGAAAGGTCAACCCCACCCAGTGCGAGTCCCTCACCATGGTCTGCGCTCAGGTTATGGGTAACCACGTTGCTGCCACCATCGGTGGCATGAACGGCCAGTTCGAGCTTAACGTCTTCAAGCCCGTGATGATCGCCAACCTGCTCCACAGCGTGCGCATTCTCTCTGATGGCATGAACAGCTTCCGCTCCCACCTGGTGGAGGGTCTGGAGGCTAACGAGGGACGGATTAACTCCCTTCTTAACGAGAGGTATGCGCTTAAACCCCGCCCCCTTACTTTTTGATCGCAAATTCTAACTCTATGATAGTCTGATGCTCGTGACCTGCCTGAACCCTGTCATTGGTTACGACATGGCCTCCAAGGTGGCTAAGAACGCTCACAAGAAGAACCTTACTCTGAAGGAGAGTGCTATGGAGCTTAAGGCTCTCAGCTCGGAGGAGTTCGACCAGTATGTCCGCCCCGAGCTGATGCTGGCTCCTAAGGAGTTGAAGTAAATGAACAGCAACGCTGTCCTGTGATATTATAGACCATTTCCGATAGGATATGTACAATGAAAAGAATATTATGTTTAATCACCTTGGTGTTGTGATATGATAGAGTTTTGTATGTTGTAGATCTTAACTTCTTTTGGTGTTATAAATAGCATCTTCGACCGCCAAGCCGATCAAAAACACTCATGGATCGGAGTTGTTGAGATCCTTCTAATACATACCTAGGTATGTACCCTTCAATAACCTTAAGATTTTCTAATACAGAAATAAGCAGATTATACCCAACAATGGCCTGTGAGAAACCAAAAAAAGAATCCACTAGTCGTCCCTTGGTATGGAGTGTATTTATAGAAAAGCCCCCCTTAGTGGCGGTGTCTCACCTGCAGGGCCGTACCTGAACCTTTGAAACCTTTGGAAGTCAAGTACTTATTTCTCAACTTGAAAACTTCTTCTTTTCCACATCGAAACTCTCGTATCTCCCCTCAATTATATATTAAAGTTCACCCAAACAAATCAACATACCAAATCCAAGTCCACCGACCTCCCTTGCGACCCCCGGCCCCTGATAAACAACCCGCACTCGACCCTCAATCTCTTCAACACTTCCACTCTCCTCCTCTCACCATCAAAATGACCGCACACGCCCTTGCAAACAACACAATTCCCGAAGCCACGAAGCCAATTATGAGCTCAACCGTCACCCAAGTGGACGCTGCTGTCGATCCCATCACCGACGGCCCCCTCTTCCCCTCCACCCTCATTTCCCCCGAAGTGATCTCTCTCCTGCCAACAGACTACACCATCCGGCCCATGCGCCGCTCGGACTACAATCGCGGCTACCTGGACGTGTTGCGCGTGCTGACAACCGTTGGCGACATCACCGAGGAGGCCTGGAACCAGCGGTACGACTGGATTACCTCGCGCAATGATGAGTACTACATGCTCGTGATCTGTGATGGTGCGGACCGCGTCGTCGGAACCGGCAGTCTGATCGTTGAGCGCAAGTTCATTCATTCGCTCGGTATGGTTGGTCACATTGAAGACATTGCCGTTGAGAAGAACCAGCAGGGCAAGAAGCTTGGCTTGAGAATTATTCAGGCTTTGGATTTTGTTGCTGCCCAGGTTGGCTGCTACAAGGTATGTGTTCTTATATTTCTCATGTCTATGATTCTACTGTTGTGTTATTGTTCATTGCTGACTCGTTTATAGAGCATTCTTGACTGTTCCGAAGTCAATGAGGGTTTCTATGTCAAGTGTGGCTTCAAGCGCGCTGGCCTCGAGATGGCGCATTATTACTGAGCGTTTCTTGACTCTTGTTCATTTCCTCCCTCGTTCACGCCAGTTGTTTGATATAGCGTTTGGGTCATTTGGGTCACTTAGTCCGGCGAGGCTTTGGCGAGGCGCCGTTGTTCACGATAAACTTGCGCAAACCATGCAATTGTTGCATTTGAAAGAATGGGGTTCGGTTGCACCTGGCCCTAATCAATCGTGATTAGCATAGCCTTTTGGCACATCACAAGGAGCAACTGGGGCATTTGTAAGATTTTGCATTCACCCTCTACGATTGGAACTCAATTGCGGTGAGATCCCAGGGCCGGGAAGTGCTTGGTTTATCAAATGTGGTCATGGTGATGGTGCTCCAGTCACTGCAGCGATCCCATCTTAGATTGTAACACTATTGATGTTGTTTGTATTATCTCTGCTTTCTCGAGAGTTTGAAACCAATGCATCGCGGGGATGGAGACCTAGATGGTTTAAGTATAGATGTGTATGAGACATGACAAATATATATCATTATCCGACTTGGAAGATCATCATCTGGTAGAACAGGAAAGTTCAGTTTATCGGTTAGGTCATGAAAATGCCAGAGAAAAGCCATGTGCTAAAGTCGCTGTTCATTCTCATATATTGAACGCCCAAGGTTTAGAACAAATCAAAACAGGAAATTCAATTATAGTTCGGGAGGCCGAATCTGGACTACTTCGTTGACAATATCCGACCGAGGCATATCCAACCACTCATGGGTAGGTCTGGTGGACATGAATCCCCAGGAGGGGAAAGCAAGAAACGTTCCATTGCTGGAGGTTGGATAAGGACATAATTTTAATACTCGCATGGGGATTCATTTTTTGATTCCTTTGTTCCCATTTTTCTGCATGAAATTGTATTGCATAAAGTATTTCCAGAAACAAGGTCAAGGCCCAAGGCCAGTCCTCACAGACAGTACTCCAGCTCCGGTGCCCGTAAGTTCCATCATATCGCAACCGTCACAGCACTGCTCCTATCCGAACACCTCCATTCCCAACTATTTCATAAAGAAATTTAGCGGGACTTGGCGGCGACCTTGGGAGCAGAGCCCTTAGCACCCTGCTTGCTCTGGATGCGCTGGGCACCGCCCTTGGCAGCGGCGGTCTTGGCCTTCTCAGCCTTCTTAGCGCTGGCGGAAGCAGCCTTCTTCTCCTTGGCGTCCTTGATGGCCTGCTTGCGAGCAGCCTCACGGGCCTCGGGGCGCTGGGAGCGGCGCTCCTTGATCACATCGAGGGAAGCACCAACGATGGCACGCTGGTTCTTGACAACACGGCGGGTGCGCTTCTTGGCGACCTCCTATATATCCAAAAAGATAACCCGGTCAGTAATCTGTAGTCGCATATTTTTCCATCATTTGATCTGAATCATGGTGGTGACGTGATAATTCCTCCTCTTGCTCCGTCTCATGGTTGGCGTCACCATTCGATTCGGCCTCTTGTCCCTCCACACAATCTAACAATAATCCAAGGGGAGGGGCGACCGACCTCAGAGATACCCTTGCGGTGCTGGCGACGGAAGAGAACAGTCCATGCGATGCGGCGGGGGTTCTTGCGCTGAAGGAAGAGAGACTCGGACTTTCCACGCTGGAAGCGGAAGATCTTGCTGTCGCCACGGACGAACAGCTTGCCCTAAAACATTGAAGATCACATATTAGCTTCTAGCAGCAATAAAAAGGCGGCGGAATTCATGTGCGGCGGTTCGGCTAGTACGGAGAGCGACAATTGTGACGGTATTGAAATATCGAAGTGTGCATGTCGAATCCGTGATGCCGTTGTTTCCCTCGCACACAAATTCCTCCCAAAAGCGACGACGGGAATTGCAAACGCACCTTGCCAGGGTAGATCTTCTGGCCGCTGAAGGCGTCGTCGTAAGTACGCATCTTGACGGATGGAGATGCGCTGACGGGGGTCGGTTGGCGTTGAGTGGTTGTCGTAAATCGTGGATCGCGGTGATGCTACTGACCCAATTGTGGTGCGGGCGCTCGCTAAAGTGCGACACGTGACCGCCTCTGCCCTTTCCAGGTCGACTTATCGATAAGGTCACATGATATGTCTCTCTCTTCCAATACTTCGATTGTTTATGATCTCTGATCAGGATAATTGCATACCTTGGATTTTATTATTTAGTCTCTGCTTGGAACTATAAATTGCTATAAGCGCAAATGATAAAATACTTGAAATTACACCGAATTCACCTTTCTTTTCTGAGAAGTCCACGATAAAACGCAATGAACATGGAATTTTCGCTGACGAATTACTCCTGGCCCTCGATGAAGTCGAATTTCCTTTCAATCTAGACTACATATGCAGGTGGAAGCTTTTCGTGGTAGAGTGGCTTGAGCACGATTCTCATATACAATTATGTGAACTCAGTCTACACCTACACGTTTGGAGTACATCTCCTTTTCAATGGCCGTTTCTATCTGAGTTGAAAATTAGGAATGGATGAAGTCCCCTCGGTATACTTAAAATGTGTTCTGTAGGAGTGCCAGTTTAAGCCCTCCTTTACCATATTCGTACATATTTAAAAAGGACATCCAAAAATACGTCGGTGTGTTCTTAGTATAACGCCCCTAATATCATCTTGGGCCAAACGGATCAGATTATAAGTCTTATTTCGTCAAGGAAAGAGATGGCAACAGTAGCTGACTATTCTCGCTGACAAACATGCAATCCTCAAGGTGAGGTCCATAACCATGTGATAAACAACACAATGATCAGTGCACTCCAGGGACTGTAAGTGGCTGGACTAGATTAGATGATGTTTGTTATAAACGGCCGATTAAAGTTAAACACGCCTGACGAGGTTATTTCTCTGCAACGCCTTCTAAAAAGAGCTAGAATAACTTGAGACAAGAGTAATGGGAGGAGCAGTTAATGAAATCCTACTCAGAGTAATAAGGTTGCCCAATAACAAACGCTTGGAATTCAATGCCTGCTATCACAAATAGAAAGGGTTGTCCTGCACTTCATGGTCACATAATACCAACGGACTTAGGTCATAGCATGTGTCCGAGTCCACTCCTTTGCTGTTTGGATCGCAGCAGGTTCATCATCCTTCCATCTCTGGGCAACGTCATTGGCGAGCGGGTCGTCGGGATTCGGGGCTCCAAGCAGTGCTTGAATCGAGAGTAGAATCGTACGAATCTGGAGAGCTGGTGACCAATTGTCTAAAAAAAAACATGGTTAGATATGTGCAGCTTGAGAGCAAATCGTATTCTGTCTTACTTTTCAAGACATCCAAACAGATGCGACCTAGACGATCGATATTGGGGTGGTAGATCTTGGTCAGGAAGCGGATTTTGGGTGGGGTCATAGGATAGTCGTCTGGTAGGAAGAGTTCAAGTCGGAAGATACCACCTGCAGAAAGTAGGTTAGTACTTCAATTGGGTATGAGGATCATGTCACCGCGAGCCTACCCTCGTATGGAGATTGCGCAGGTCCGTGAATTGAGACGTCGAAATAGCGGAGGTTATCGTCATGGGGCACAGCATTAATGCCTGGAACACTGTAACCCAAGCACAGTATGTTAGCTACTATGCAAATGACTTTTTGAGCGAGATGAGCTGCTTACGGCTCTGCCATCAGACGTTCCGTCTCCTTAATGATTCTCTTGGGTAAAGCCATGGCGAACCAGCTTATCGACACGCGAGTAGACCTGGTTTAGTAATTTCAGACGAGGAGACTGTTCCTAAAAAAGACCAGAAACCCACACGCTTTCGACGTTGGGTGGGACTATAATAAGTAATCGGAAGAAGCCAACAGAGAAAGGTAAAGGGAAAGTCAACTAAAAAAACAGATCCAGATCTCGACGTAACCGGCCGAGGGGCTCCTGCATGGCGGGGTTGTTTCGCGTGCCGTATACGAGATCATGTGATGTCATAATCCCGCAGTGATAGCCACATCCACATTCACAGCCACAGTGCCAGCCACGCCCTTGTCCTTATCGTGTTATCGCAACCCAACTCTCCAGTCTTCGCGACAAGTCGAACATATAGCAGTCATCTTCGACCATGAAACAAGAATAGCGGATGCCATTGGGGAAAATGGGAATAGGTACATCACTACCAAATACATATGGTCTTGCGTTATATGCATGGGTAGCACTTTGACTTCCCGGTTCCTGCAAGATCGCGGCCCGACGAACACCGGAAATTAAACAGAGCGGCAATCACAGTTATCATGTCTAGCTCGATGGAACCGAGGCCTCTGACGTCGGCTATGGAGAGCCCGACGTTTGAAGAGGACAGCTCCTTTCATGTAGAGCAACCGGTGGGTTCTATGTCAATATCCCCCTGTGGACGGGATGTCGTTCTAGCGTCCAAGGAGGGTCTGCATGTCATCGACCTAGACTCACCATATTCTCCACCGCGGTATCTCCCTCACCACACACCATGGGAGGTAGCTGATGTCCAATGGTCGCCATTCGCTGCACGCGATCAGTGGGTTGTCAGTACATCCAACCAGAAAGCGTTAGTCTGGAATTTGGCCATGAAGACATGGCAGAACTCCATTGAAATTGTGCTTCATGCCCATTCTCGCGCAATTACCGACATCAATTTCTCGGCTTTCCACCCAGATGTCCTAGCGACCTGTTCCGTGGACAGCTTTGTGCACTGCTGGGATTTACGTACTCCGTTGCGGCCAGCGGTCTCATTCTCGGATTGGTTTACTGGTGCAACCCAGGTAAAATGGAACCGACAAGACCCTCATGTCATTGCAAGCTCTCATGACCGGTTCCTTCGGATTTGGGATGACCGCATGGGCGCATATCCAATCAAATCGATTGAAGCACATAACACCAAGATCTATGGAGTTGACTGGAATCGTGTTCGACGCGGCGCTCTAGTTACATGTTCTTTAGATAGAACAATCAAGTTCTGGGACTACACCACCGATTCAGATGTCCCAGAGAAGCAGATTCACACACCATTCCCCGTGTGGCGGGCACGCAATACACCGTTTGGATGGGGTATGCTTGCAATGCCGCAGAGAGGCAACAATGATCTTCATCTTTACAGCCGGCGAGCTGGAGAGGGCTCAAGTCCAGAGGATGACTTGCCTTTGGTACATAGTTTCCCTGGGCACAAGGGACAAGTCAAAGAGTTCTTGTGGAGACCGCGTGGAGGGGTAGCGGATGGTATTGACCATCGCGAATATCAACTTGTCACGTGGGGAACGGACAGGGAGCTTCGTTTGCACAAAGTTGATCCCGAGATTCTGGCGCGCGTTGGATACGAAAAGGGCAAGTCCTTTATCTCCACACGAACCGTGACACGGCTCGGTGCCGTATATCGGAGTTTCCGCGATGTGAATTCAGATTTGGATCTCGATGACGTTGACGTGGCTTCCTCTGTTGGGAATCAGAACCAGAATACTGCGGCAGGCACTGGGATGAACGCCATCACTGTTCCTCACGCCCGGGGTTGGATAAAGGGAGGCCATGTTGATCGAGTTGGCATGCAGCCAAGGTCAAATTTAAGAGCGGACACAAATCCAATTGCTTGGATGCGCGGTGTGAAAATCTCAGGCTGGGATATTGAGACACTAGGAGATGAAATCAGCCAGGTCGGTGAAAAGTTCACTAAGGTGGCATTTGATTCAGTTGACGTTCGACAAAGAAAGATTTCTATCTCTCTCAACGGGCCTTGGGGTGTTGACGGGGCTTCCTTGTTCTTGAAAGTCGACATCAAGTTCCCAATGAGCTATCCCAAGACTGCGATCCCAACCTTTGCATTCCAAAAGACGGCAGCTGTCACCGATGAGTGGGCTGCTAAAACCACCGCCGAGCTGCGCACAATTGCCGAAACCTATATGTCCCGAAACCGAGGGTGCCTGGAAGGCGCTGTGCGGTATCTTTTAGGCGAAAGTAGCCTGGAGGACAGCATTGCGTGGATATTGGGTGAAACTGGCGATACCCTCAAGTCACCTATCAATGGTGAACTAGAAGGTGAATCTAGCGACGAGGATGAAGTTGGCATGACCCAGAGCCAAGAGCTGGGAATGAGTTCTGAGCTACTCCGCCCTGTCAATGCTAACGTCATGGTGCCTGTGGCCAAAGTATGCGGAGCGCTTTGGGCGAACGACGGCCGCCTCATATGCTTCTTCCCGCCGAAACCAAAGAAGGATAAGTCAGCCGAGTTATTCGAGAACATGGGTTTCAAAGAGATGTCTCGTTGGTCTAGAGGCGATAAAGTCTTTGAAGGCTTCGGCCGATTACATACCAGCTCACCCGGCCCACGCGGTATGGGGACGATAACAAGCACAGATGATGGTGCCTCGGACGATTCGGACGAGTCATACTCAGACACATCGAGCTCCTCGGGCTCCTCTGACGTTCTTTCTGGGCTACCAACACCTTTCCCAGCACCTCGGACATGGCGCAGTGCCGGCAGCTATGGCATCCACCGGCCACGATCAACGGATAACTCTCAGCGATCGACTGGAGGTGGAGCCACAGTCAAATCAGAGGCACCCCAGAATATCATATCGATTCATAATCTGAGTGATATGTTACCCGTCAAGCGGGAGTTGGCGAGTCAATATCGCATCTGTGGCAAAGGAACAGATGTATGCGCCCATAATGCGGCTGTTGCCCTTGACGCTGGCTGCTACGAATTGGCCCAAATCTGGGGTCTGATAAAGTTAGTGTTGCATGTCCGAAAAAGTCCCGGTACTTTGCCCGAGTCAGGGCTGTTGCATAAGCGTACACACAAAAAAGGGGGCGGAATTGGTGGTCTGGGAAAAGACGGGCTGTATAGAGACTTGAAGGGCAGTATTATTCGCTGGGGCGACCACCCCCTTGGCAGTCATTGGCTTGTCCCTGCTCTCTTCGAACACTTTGAGCGAATTGGCGATGTGCAAATGGTGGCAATGCTCTCATGTGTACTACTGGAAGCCAACCAAGAGGGATTTTTGGAGAATCAGCAAGCTAAAAAGACACCCGGGAAAGATGATTTCTCATTGGATTTCTCCCCTATCCCATCGAAAATTCCAACCAAGCCACCAGTTGCGATGCCGGTTTCATCTGTCCTCAAAGAGGTCCAGGCTATGCCCGCGCCCCAGACCTCAGCACGCTCGTCTAGTGAGATCTGGCGTCTCGATTCCACTCCCCCACATTCCACAGGCACCACGCCTCCATTCATGTCTCGTCCACGAGGCATTGCTGCCGACCACCGAAAACATCCGAGCCACAATGTCTCCATGGCTGCATCGCCTGACCAGCAATCCCAGGCACGAAGTGGATCTGGGTTTGGATCAGTGTTAGCGTCCTCATTATCTCGTTCATTCACATTCGGACCGTCATCTGCGTCACCACCGACAAGTAGGATGGACAAGAAAAAGCCGACCCCTCAAAACAGCCCTGGTGTGGCAGCCGGACAAGCGGTGAGTAGTATCAATCATATTTTGAGATAGCGTCTAACCCCAGTTGCTCTCTAGTCACAGGCTCAATCCGACACTGAAAGCGACCACGCACCTGAGCCTACACCACCACATGCAAGATTCAAGGTCACATTCAAGAACCAAAGTGCATTTGAAAGCGATGGACCTGCGCAAGACTCTTTTCTCGACAGAGATGATGAGGAGTTGTTGTATCGGTCATACCGCGTTGCTTATGCCAATATATTATCGATTTGGGATCTTCCCGTTCAACAAAGCGAAGTGATAAAGATTGGAGCTGTGGCTGATCGAGTGGACGACTTGACTTCAAGCCATTACTGGAACAGTACCGGCTCGGATGAGACCGCGTTGGAAGACTCACCGCTGGAGCCAACCCCCAAAGCTCTTGACTTCCAGCGTCATTGCGCCAGCTGCGGTCACGCGTTGCAACTCTCCATCTTTAACAAAGAACCCATAGTCCCGAATACCCCCTCCAAGCGACACCAGCGCAAATCATTTGGGCGTCGATGCCCTAATTGCAAACCTCGGCAGCCACTACCGACCAGATTGCCTTGCGTTATCTGCGGCGAGGTGGTCGACGGTATGCTAATTCCTTGTCTGAGCTGTGGGCATGTGAGCTGTTTCGACTGCCACCAACGTTGGTTCCTTCGACCAGCCGACAAATTCGACAGCCCATTCGACCACCCAGATCAGCACAATTCCCTTCCAACCTGTCCAACAGGATGCGGCTGCCAATGTTCCGAGCACATTACCGTTGATGTCCCCATGCCTTTGTTGGAACCAGTATCTCCTGGCCCCAAAGAGTATGCACCTATTACCCAGCACAGTATTGTCCAGGCGAAACACTCTCATCGCCGACAATCTGAGCCCGTTGGCTTGGCTCCCGCCCGAAAAGAGGCACTGCTTCCCAAGGGCGTTGGCCAACTCGAACACGATTTGGATGTGTGGCAGGATTCATCGCCGTTTGCATCTCTGGCGCGAGGTCTCGGCGGTGGGTTGAGCCGTGGCTTGCGGACGAAAGAAGATCACAATAAGAATAAACCTGTCACAATGGCATCGAAATTGAGAGATTCTTGATTTTTCGAGCTTGGTGTTGAACGGTGTTTTATGGGTTTGCGTATATCCATTGCTTTCTCGGAAGGACTTTCAACTTTTAATAACTTAATTGGATAATTTGATCCGTGAAATTCAACGATTGACACTATCCATATAATCGACCATTGTGAAGTAGGCTGTATATCACAAGTGTCATTTATTCTGATGCAAGGTCTACGAAGTACCACATAGTAGACTATTCTATTTCAAAACTATTAATTCTGTTCGAATATGCCACTACATACAGTTTGAATGCTTGGCAATTGAAATGCTGACGATCTAGATCTCCATCGAGGCGTTGAGCACGGACAGTGGCACTGGCCTTCAGCACTAGTCCAATATAATAGCGGCGCGCCAATCAAAACGACGAGGTATAGTTCTTAGACCGTACCTATGTTGTACGACAAATCAACCTTAAGACAACTACCGTTTACTCGGATAAAGACAATAGAGAAGAATAGAAAGAATGAACTCGTAGCTTCATTAAAGGTATTTCACTCTTCAGGTAACAGAGCAAGTAACAGGGCGATCTAAAAATTCGGAAAACCGCTGAAAGCAGAGGGGAGAAACCGTGCTGGATATTTGTACCCAAATACCGCAGTCCGACCCCCAATCACCCATGAAACAATGCGCCAGCCCATTTACCCAAATCTATTTTCAAACGAGTGAATTTACAGCTGCTTGAGGACAGACTCGGCGCGGGAGAGGTCGAGGCTGTTCTTGGCGGCCTCCTTGGCGGCGTAGATGACCTTACCGTGGTCAAGGACGATCACGTAGCGGTAGGTGCGACCCTCCTCATCAGCCCAGCCGATGCTCTTGGAGAACTTGGCATCGGGGTCGGAGAGGAAGAGCTAGAAAAAAAAAACAAAGACAGTCAGTCAATGGAGTCCATGGGTTTGTTGAGGAATTGGCAGAGGTTGAATGGAGGGGTGATGGATCACATACAATATCATCTCCGGTGACACCGTTGGCCTTGCCCCAGGCGCTCATGACGTAGGCATCGTTGTAAGCGAGGACGGCGACCTGGTCGACACCCTTGGCGCGGAGCTCGGGGAGCTTCTGGATGTACTCGGGAACGTGGTTGGCGGAGCAGACGGGAGTGAAAGCACCTGTAGAGAGGAGTTGCGGTCAGCGTGAGAACCTTGCAGACGGCAGGAAAAGAGGGGGGGAGGAAATTGAAAATTTTTGAAAGAGCGGTCACATACCGGGAAGAGCGAAGAGGATGACCTTCTTGTCAGCCCACTCCTTGGAGGCGTAGTAGTTGATGGGGATACCGCAAGAGGTGATCTCGCCAGCCTCCTCAGACCAGGGGATGTAACTGTTATCTTGTTAGCTGGGAGACAATTGAAAAGAAGGAACTCAATGACTCACGAGAAGGTCACATCCTGGGGGAAGGCATCGCCAGCGTTGAAACCCTTAGTGGCCATTTTGAGTATTGGATTGATTATTTGGGGGAGGGAGAGAGAGAGAGATCGAAGTTAAGATTGTTAAGATTGTGGATACGAGAAGAAGAGGGGAAAAGGGAAGGAAGTAGGTATTTAATAGTACGGCTTACACATATCGGCCCATCGGGATTTATGACGAAGTGGGGACTTGGCTCTCAATTTACCAGAAAGTGAGGTGATCCGAAGAAGAAAGATACCGAACCACATGGATTATCAAGAAAACACGGCCGAGACTAAACGAGGGGCGTTATCTGATTCGTATTATTCATATAGACGAATCGGATTAGAGGATGAGTCAGCCCAGATTATTGTAGGTATCGGCTATTAAGATAAGTTACTAAGTAGTTCGGATTTAGTATTCCTGTTCCTAGCCGTTCTCCGGGATTCTTGGAGAAGTGTCCTGTTTTTGTTGGCCCAAAATGAGGGACCCAGGTGGGGGATGATGTTATAAAATGCCTGATCTCTAAGGCAGCAGGTGGGATAATAAGGTCATGTGACTCTGGTGCCTTGTACCTGTATCTGTATGCCTTAGGCCATCAGTTACGCCAGACAAACCAACCTGATTGGTGAATTTTACCTTCTCGGAGGAGCTTTTCACATGTTAGTGACCCCGGAAGCTAAATCTTAACCTCATCCATGTCAAATGCAATCTCACTTGTTCATTTCTCTCGGAAATACATGTACACAGTGTCCGTTTCACATGTCACTCTGTCTGCGGCCGTGACAATTGTGGTCCACACATCCGTGATAGGTTTAGCAAGATCAAATACCTGAGCTGCGTTCGTATCACCAATATCGAAAGTTGCAAATTTATGGTTGCGGATCGAGTGATCGTTCATAAGCACGGTGTTCCATGGACCATTGATAGTATCGGCTTTTTTACCCAGGGGGTTTCATAAACACCAAAATGCCATCATACTATGCATATATACTTAGTCTGTTGGCAAAAAAAAAAAAAAAAAAGAAATATCAGGACATCTTCCACTACACGTAAATGAGGGCCAAAAACATATAGCTCTCCAACACCAATCAAATACGCTCCTCAAATCTGTGTCGACTGTTATCCCAGAGGCATCAACTAGTCATCTATCACAAGAAATTCCCCGGGTGCTATGCAAACGTGATAGGGGGCATTGGCAACCTCTCGGTTTAATTTGCCGTGGTCTTTTGAGCAAATATCAGCAAAGCCTCCGTACCCTGTACCCAGACTACTTTCGTACTTTTGCTGATACCACCTTGCTGAGACCCATACTGACTGCTAGTTCTAGAATATCATTGGTGGCCCAGCGCCGCTAGTCATTCTGTCAGACAGAATAGCGTTGGCAGATCGCCCCTGGCCCGTATGCCACATGCGTCTAACTTTCTTCGGGAAAAGATTAACGGCAATCTCCCGTGGATCGGGTTTGGGGAACGGGTTTCGGAATTCAACTGCTAGCTCTATACTAATGTCTTGTCACGTCCTGATGTCATTGCATTTTCACGACATATTAATATCATGGCAGAATTAGATTTACCGTCAAGGGGAAAGTCAAGGGAAAGCCATGGAAAAGCCATCGCCGACAACCGAGCTAGCTGTACAAGAGCCTTTTCGCGCACCAGCTGAAGAACAACATCAACACCATGGAGAAATACCAACGCAATCCAATAGTGACCGTCTCGCCCCAAAGAAGACATGGCGCTTTTGGGCCGTGTTCCCAGCACTATGTGTGACGACTTTCCTCTCGGCCCTCGATACATCCATTCTCTCAACCGCCCTCCCCACAATCGCCCTTGATGTTAATGCCGGCGAGCTATACATGTGGATCACAAATTCATACATTCTATCATCGACGGTTGTCCTCCCACTATTTGGCCAGACCGCAAACATCTTCGGTCGGAGATGGATGCTGATCATCTCAGTTGTCATATTTGCCTTGGGGAGTGGCATGGCCGGTGGTGCGAAGAACACTGGACTTCTTATTGCGGGAAGAACAATCCAAGGCATCGGAGGTGGTGGTATCAACACTCTTGTGGACATCGTCATTTGCGACCTGGTCCCCCTTCGCCAGCGAGGTAAATATGTCGCGCTCATGGCAGCTGTGTGGGCAGTTGGAACAGTGATCGGCCCCGTTCTAGGTGGCGCATTCGCCCAGTATGTCTCGTGGCGTTGGGTTTTCTATATCAACCTACCTCTTTGTGCTGCGTCACTTCTACTACTAGTGCTATTCCTTCGAGTCAGACACCCGCGCAACAATGGCTCCATGTGGCACCGGCTCAAGCGCGTGGACCTCGTTGGTAATTCTATCCTTACAGCTGCTGTTGTCTCGATTTTGCTCGCCCTCACTTGGGCTGGAACAACGTATTCCTGGTCTTCGTGGCGAGTCCTTTTCCCTCTTATCCTAGGGCTCGGAGGGATGTTCCTTTTCTACGGACATCAAGTTTCACGATTCTGTGTTGAGCCCTCGATTCCCCTCCGGTTGTTCTCAAGTGGAACAGGGACATGCGCACTATGGATTGCTTTTATTCAGTCTGTCCTGCTATACTGGGTCGGATATTTCCTACCAATCTATTTCCAGGCTGTACGTGGCTCGACTGCCACGGAATCCGGGTTATACGTGCTTCCTATCACGGCCGCAATTGCACCTTTTGGAATCATCACGGGTGTTATCATCGCTATAACTGGAAAATACCGCATCTTTCACTTCCTAGGATATATATTACTCACTACCGCTAGTGGCCTCTTCTCGCTCCTGGATGACCATTCACCTGCTCGCGACTGGGCTGGCTTCCAGATACTCTTCGGCGCTGGTTCTGGTATGATCTTCTCCAGCACTCTACCTCCGATTCAGGCATCGCTACCGGAGTCCGATGTGGCTACTGCAACCTCCACCTGGGCATTTATGCGTAGCTTTGGTTGCATATGGGGTATTGTTGTTCCAACCACTATCTTCAACGCACGTGTCCAGGAGCTGCTGTATCGCGTCAGTGATGTGTCTCTGCGTGTAAAGCTTGCTAATGGAGGTGCATATGCCATGGCCAGCGAAGGATTGATGCGTAATTTACAAAACACCACGAACCTTATGGCGGAAGTTCTCAGTGTGTACCAAGACAGTTTGCGATGGGTGTGGTGGATTTCCATCCCGTTTGGTGGTATCGGGTTGCTTCTGTGTATACCCATAAAGCAGCTGGAGCTCACGGAGGATTTGAATACAGAGTTTGGGTTACCCAATGCTGCACCAAGCAGAGAAGGGTGAAACTGTCAATTTCTTTGTGCTATAGACGGCTGTGGCTATTGTCAGGAGTCCCTATGAATTCCAAATGGCGGACCATACTCCAGAGGGCCCACGCCTCCCATGACTTTCCTACAATAAGGAAAATTGACCGATTGGTTTCATAGGCGCCTGAGATTTCAACTCCATATTGGCCGGTAGGTCTTGGATCGCATTTTTGAAGCCTTCGAGTACGTCGCGGACTCGCGGTGACCCAGGGCTTAGCTGTGACCATGTAGGGTCAGTTTGACGAGCACATGTTTCTTATTGACATGTCTTAAAAGGCGATCGAGGGATGTGTGAGGAGGTAGTGCGATATACGGGCGACTAAGTATGCCACTGGTTATAACTCTCTCATTGGATATTATCTCACTGCTTCTTTCACCGCTGGAGGCATATACAACAAGACAAGAATTGTAATCGGCCGCTTATATGGCCTTGTTATTTTCTTTTTGTATGTCTTTTTTAGGTGTATATGAGGGCGCTCAAAAAAGCATATCTATATACGAGACTTGAATAGTGTGACCAACTATTAATCTTCAACCCTATAAAGGTAATGATATATCGCGGAGATCTGTGATGGTCCCGAGATTTAATGGATTGCGATTTCAAATACTATATCTCTTTTCCTACTGGATACGATGCTTAATATGTGCATAGTATTGAAGGCTACCCTCAGCTTACTCCCCAAATAGCAGATCAATGTCTTGTATCATTAACATGGGGTGTTGTCTCCATCAAACGAGCCAGAGTAACAGCTTCCCGAAGCGCCCGTCCAACATGCCCACGCACACCAGCCTCTTCCATGACCATCAATCCGCCAATTGTGCAACCCTCGGGAGATGTTCCTTGATCCTTCAAAAGGGCAGGGTGGATACCACTCTGCAGCATCGTTGCCGTCCCTTGCATTGACTGAAAGATCATGGTGTGAGCCATGTCCCGTGGCATACCAACCGCCACCGCGGCATCAATCATTGCATCACAAATCACAGCGAAGAAAGCGGGCGTTGAGCCCCCAACAGCGGTAGTAGCATTCATCAACTTCGGATCAACGTGTACTGCCTTGCCGATTTGCTCGAAGATCGACGTCGTTATCTGGAGATACCGTTCGGGCAACGCCGGCTCCGATGTTTCAATAGCCGTCAGTGATTGAGACACCTGGGCTGCGATGTTCGGCAATGTCCGCACCACCCAGGCTCTTCCAGCTGTGTTCTCGGCAGTGGTTGCGCTGCCATAGACTGTAGCCTCGAGCTTTTGTCTTGTCCAGCCGGCGGCAATGCTGATGATAAGCTTGCCTGTCAAGGCGTCGCGGAGCCCGGGTTGCGTCAGGACGGTCTCGATATCGGCGGGGTCTGCGCCTAGAATAATGACATCGGCGTTTTGTACGGCTTGTACATTGTTGCCGCGGGAAATGCTTATTTTGTCCAAGGCCTCGGCGAATCGCTCGGATAGTCTCTTCTCTGAGTTTTCACTGCGCACGCATGCAATATACCGAGCAAATGGTAGATCTTTGGACTTCTCTGCTGATGCATTGGCCAAACCGTCTAGAATAGCAATGCCCAGGTTTCCTAGATGTGTTAGTCGATGTATTTTGCCAATGGGTTTCCGCACTTACCACAACCTAGGATGCAAAGGGTCCCGTTTTGGATATCCATGATTTAATTATCAAATCAAGTCAGCAAGTAAATTATTCAAAGGAAATGAAACCAAAAGGCAACAAGTTCTGAATTTTGAAGTACATCGGGGACGTATCCGAGTGTGGAGAATTCATACCCCGCTTGAATCGAATCCGATGTACAAACATACAAACATATATGAGAGCCATGAGTTTCATGAGTTGCAGGAGATTTTCAAGGTCAAGAGACTGCTTTCCCCCTCAAAGTTATGCGGATTTGCATTTATTGCTTCTGCTTCCAGTACTCCATTCCATGGCTGGATACATCGCTCTAATAAGTGTTCAAGTCAACAGCACCTTTTATGAATTCGATCAATATTTCGAGGTTTCAAAGTATAAAATCCATAGTTTAAATAGGAAATCGACTAAATACATATAAATATACGAAGGTATAGAAACATAAAATTGGAGAAACCATCGGAAGTCCTCCCGATCAACCGTTTCCCCTCAGCTCTTATCTTGGAGACCACTTTTCTCCAACTCCGCATAATATAACTGTTTTGGGGGTCGATGCGGGGGAAATACTATATCAGCTCAATAACCCACAAATAAGCAAATGCACTTTTATTTTCTTTCATCATGGGCATTTCCACATCGGATTCGATTATTGTTGTCGGCGCTGGCGCCTTTGGCCTCTCGGTAGCACTGCATCTTGCTCTACGAGGCTACACAAATGTCTCGGTCTTCGCAAAAGATGACTATATCCCTTTCGGAGATTTGACAAATGTAGTGTACCCCTAAAAGTCATTTATTTTCCTTAAAAGAAAAAAAGAGAAAAGAAAAAGGGAAAATAGAATAACTACTAACGACTATACGGTTGAAATATAGGCCTATCGTGCAGCACAAGATGCAGGCGTGCAATTTTTCCTGGGACAACAAGTCGACCAAATAGCCTATGTGAGCACATTGGCTGGGAGGAAGAACGCTGGTATCCGCACAAAGAATGCCGGGTTTTATCCCTCGTCGCTCGTCATTATCGAAGCGGGGGCTAGGGATAGCGATTCATCTGAAACTGGCCAGTTACATGGCCCCGACCCCTTGGCCATACCCCTTTCTCGCTATACCAACACCAACCCAAATTCCTTCGCCGAATACGTGCCACAAACATCTTCCTCGGTTATACTGCTATCGGGAAATTTGGTACCAATCTCCAAGATATCTTTGGTGGGACCGCGGGTCGTAGATCTCCTAGAGGCAGCGAGTCAGAAAGTGTCGGAGAATTTACCCCAACCCTTGTCTAAGCTGTGAAGGGGTTTCGTCAAGGACCAAAATACCAACTCGATATATTCACCATCACTCAATAATTCCCGGTCCCTGAAACAGACTTGGACCCCTTGATACCGATCGAGGCCTACCATGTACAATCGGACCATTTCTAAACATACAAACTTTCAAAATTCAACTCAAATCTAGTCTATTCTTCAAGAGTAGGGCGATTGCATCTTATTTATGAATTATTTATAGACGCTAGAAGTCAAATTATGAAGTCAATGAGTCAATACTCTGGTGCTGCCGACGAGGTCTATCGACCCGCTCAGGGTCGACCAATTCAGGAGCTCCTGGAATCAACACGGCCCAGCCAAGACAGGGACGACAAAGACCCATCGCAAAGGCCTCGGTGATACGGAGGGTGGGACGTGGATTAGGGCAAGGTACTCGTCTCTCACGGGCATTCGCTTCTTTACAGCGCTCGATCCACACTGCTTCGGTGTGCCCACAACCACTGATGCCACAATGGCCACGGTACCATTTATAACGCATTTTGCACATAATGGATTATGGATTATGGGTTTGTTGAAAATGGTAGAGCTCCGGAGTAAGTACTAGCGATACTAGCCCTGGTGGAGAAGGCTGTGATAGAATATGGGATTGGAAGAAAACCTATATATTTGTAGAACTTCCAAAGAGCCGTGGAGCTCAATGAAATGAATAACATTGAAATCCGTTGTCTTTTATTCTGAACTTTGCTTTTTATGAGACAAAGAGTTCTGTGCAAGAAAGCTACAATCTTAATTATTGAGAACAATTCATTGTTGATATCTTTGTTCCAAATATAAACGATCCGTAGATCATCGGTTTCCACTTGGTTTTCATTCTATTATGTGGCATGCTATCATCAGGACTGACTATATATATACAATGTTATCAGTATTTCACAGTCACTACATGCTGCGAAGGTTAGAACTAGCTTGAAGTAATATTAGACATGGTGGTGAGTGGGCTTGTGTGGGCTTGTTGTTACCTAGGTAGGAAGTAAATATATATAGTTCGTACATTTACTATAACAATCATCCCCAACGCGAATTATCAAAACAACCAAACAGGTATCCTACGTTTGAAGCATAATTAGCGAAAAGGAATTGATTTATTCATTGAACAGACCTATATTCGATACGACGAGTCAAAAGCATATATATTTCGGAGCGCAAGATTTAGTACAATATCTGCCTACTGGTTACATGGCCAGGAATTTGCCTGTCAAGTAAGTCACTGTATACTTTTTGCCTATAGCTAATTTTGGCTTATAGAATTACTTATACAATTATCATGACGTACAACCTTAGCAGATCTGGATGGAGTAGACAAAACCGTACTTTGTACAGCGTTACATCGAGATGACTAACTGGAGCTGTCTGTAGGTACCCGTCGTGTCAGGGGTTTAAGCTTCTCAACCTCACAAATTCGAACTAAAAACAAACTCGATTCTATATATCCCCACTATGGCAGATCTTAAACCGCCATTCACCGAGGAGACTGCGCAGAAGAAAGTCAAAATAGCGCAGGATCTGTGGAATACGAAGTACGTGTCGGATTTTCTATCCTCTATGACCCTTGGCAGACCATGTGTTCGAAAAAAAGGGAATTTATCCCTTGCATTCTTGCCAACTTGTATTGTTTGTCTGTGCGGATTGCCCTGGACACATGCGAGTATACCTCAACTGGGAAGGGTCTATCTTAGGTTCTTGAGATGAACCGTTGTTATTTTGAGTTGCAAAATTAGATGACGTAGTGAATCCATCGCCTGTTCTGACCATCTACGATTAGGGATCCTGCCCGAGTCGCTCAGGCATACACGCCAACATGTATCTGGCGTGTTCGAGACTCATTCTTCACCGGGACGGAGTCTATCGTGGCGTTCCTGGAAGCGAAATGGAAACGTGAGCGTGGTTATCGACTTCGGAAGGAACTTTTTGCTTTCCAGGATGATCGCATTGCTGTGCAGTTTTGGTATGAGTTTCAGGACGTGGAAGATGGAATGCGCTGGAAGAGGTGCTATGGATTGGAAGACTGGACTTTTGACGAGGCTGGGAAGATGCGTAAACGTATGATGAGTGGAAATGACGTCCTGATCGGACCGGAAGGTGATGGTGAGGGGCGATGGTTTGCAGATGAGGTTGACGTGAACGATGTACTTATTAGCGAGGAGCATTGGTGATATTACGATGGATATTCATGTATTTGAATAGTTCAATTGGTCCTGAGGATGTGGTGCACCATTACTGTAGGGCTCTATATAAATTTCAAGTAAGAGAGATATTGGGCTCTCAGTTTGACCCCAAAAACCGGATATTAGAAGATGAGAAGCTTATGGGTATGGAATGTTCAACATAGATACCCATGTAGGCCCCTGGACAATTAAAGTGGCGATTAGGTCTGGAGTTGATGGTTGATTTGTTATTATCCCCCTTCTTTGGGGGAATGTCACCATTCCCCCTCGATCGCAATTGATGGCAATGAAAGCATTGTATGAATTTAAACCTTTGACTATATACATATATTTATTTCATAAAGAACTTGGCAGAACTAAAAATTAAAAAGACAGAATAAAAAAAACCACCCAAACGATTCATATGGGGGGAGAGTGCCTGAAGTGAGGTGGGAGGTGTGAATAGTGGCATGGGACTTTGAGGGCTTCTACCTCCTCACGCTGATAGGTCAAGTCCCACACAATAAATCGGCAAACATGCCTACATGAAGTCAAACAGGTACACCGTAGATAGTAAACAATGATAGAGGGTGCTAAGTACATTCCGATGGGAAGGAAGGTATCTCTCATTCCTGTCCGGCCGAAGTATGCATGCCAACCTCTTGTCCTTCATGAAAATTGGCAGTTCTAATCTTTCCCCCCTCCATCCTGTGTTTTTATCTTGATTTTAGTCAGTTGGGGTTTGTCTCTTGAGGTCTTCTCACTTTTTCTTTTTGCCCACTGCATCGTTATCTATGATGTGGTGTTAACCAGTCCTTGTCACTCTTTAATTTCTCTTCTTCTTTCTTTCCCAGAAAAGTCTGGAGCCGATCTTTACACACAACTTGTTTTTTTCGTTGAGACTTGGAAGAAGAAGTTGGCCGTTTTGCGTTTGATCTAATTTTCGGTGCGTTGGCTACTGATACATTTGACGTCGAAGGGTCAGCTAATGGGGTCTAGATTGAGAACTAATCCGCCGATTTTGAAGAGGCTTGAAACATACGCCAATATGCCTTGCACCACCTCTACCATGGACCAGATAATGTCGGACGTCAATGACTCTCAGCGGAGGCGTCAGCCATTGAGAGATGTATCGAGCCGGATCAACCAGTCTAAGTCGCCAAATGTCGAGACACCGCACCTCAGGATCGAGGAATCAGAGCAGATGAAGAGTCCTGATCGGATGTCTTTCCCTATGACCCCTACCCCACAAAGAAACAAAGAAAATGAACGCCTGTCAGTGGCTACCGACCTGCAGCCCGACTCAGCCCGAAACTCCATTATGTCTGCGGCATCTCTCCTATCAACCAAAGGGAAAAGAAAAACACACGTGGGTCCATGGCAGCTGGGACGAACACTGGGGAAGGGGGCCACTGGACGGGTGAGACTAGCCAAGCATGCTGTCACTGGACATACGGCCGCTATCAAGATCGTTTCAAAAAAGTCTGCTGCTATGGTTCAGAGTGAGAGTATCGCAGCAATGGACCGGAATATGGGAAACTTCCCTACCAATTCAGCCACCCGACAAATGCCCTGTGGCATTGAACGCGAGGTGGTTATCATGAAGTTGATTGAACATCCCAATGTGATCAGTCTCTATGATGTCTGGGAGAACCGTGGAGAATTGTTCGTCCCCACCACCCTCGGAGTTGAAAGTAAACTAACCTGATCGCTAGGTACCTTGTCCTTGAACACGTTGAGGGTGGAGAGTTATTCGACTATGTATCTAATAATGGCCCACTGCCAGAAGAAGAGGCTGTGCGCCTATTCCGACAAATTATTGCGGCCCTTGGCTACTGCCATCGTTTCAATATCTGTCATCGCGATTTGAAGCCCGAAAACATCTTGCTTGATGCGAATCATAATGTGAAACTTGCTGATTTTGGTATGGCTGCACTGCAACCTGCAGGCCACTGGTTGAACACTTCATGTGGTAGCCCTCATTATGCAGCACCGGAAATCATTTATGGCCGGAAGTATCGTGGCGACAGAGCCGACATGTGGAGCTGTGGTATCATCCTGTACGCCCTTTTGACTGGTTACTTGCCTTTTGACGGAGGTGATTTGCAAAGCACCTTGCGGCTTGTGAAGAAAGGGGACTACATAATTCCACCCGAGTTGAGCGACGAAGCGGCCGATCTCATCCAGCGTATCCTCCAAAAGCGCCCAGATGACCGGATATCCATGCAAAACATTTGGTTACATCCGTTGTTAACCAAATATGAAAAGCTTCACAATGCCATGGTTGACCACTACGTCGGTCCTCCTCCTGCCCTGTCCGTGAAGGATTGCGGCCCAACCTTGTCCTGTCAGCAGGACATTGACCTCGATATCCTTCGCAACTTGCAAACTTTATGGCATGATGTTAAGGCCGAGGATCTAATTCAAAGGCTTCTATGTATCGAGTAAGTACGGCCTGCTAATTATCAGAATGACCCGCATCAAGCTAACAAACGACCATCAGACCGACCCATGAGCGGATGTTCTACAACGCATTGGCCAAATTTCGCGATGAGCAGCTTGAGAACTACCAGGGACAGCCTCTAGAGTACTCAGCTAGTGACTATCACCACATCTCCCGCCCTGGTAGTAGAGTTCGCCGAGGCCGAAGCCAGACGGGCCAGGGTAACTCCAAACGTCGTGCCCAGTTCCCATCTGTCAAAGAGTTCCCTCGTCGGGTCAGTTCCATCAAGGAACCGATGTCCTCCGGTACTACAGCAAGCTATGACCCATATCGGTCACCCAACCACGCTAGAATAACGTCAGAAGCACAGTATGCCAA